TGTGTGTGTGTGTGTGTGGCCAGCTCAGCCCACCAGGGGGCAGGCGGGCTGGCATGTGGTGCTGGGGGATTGAACCGTGGTCCCTGTGTTTTGCCAAGCTTGTTCCAAGTAGGTGCTTTAGACCACTGAGCCATCTCTCCAGCCCCCAGATGTTTTTCTTGAAGAGGAAAAATGTTAGAGCAATGTTCTTATTAATATTCATCCCCTTTTTCCTGTTTTCAAAGAAATTATCCATGTATTATTCCATTATATATTGTAAGGTTAAATGGCAAGTCTTGTGAATCAAGTTGCCTCTACTTTGTAGGTGTAAGCTACCTAGATGACTGTATACAACATGTACTTTTGGGGATAAATAGTTTATTTTGTGTTTCTGGTTTATAAACATTATGATACTGACCTCATCTGGGATTAAGCACAGATTCTTGCCCATAGATATACAGTCAGGGGTTTTGTGCTGTGAATATTTTGTGGTATAGTGAAATCCTGAAACTTTTTCAAAGCAGTGCTTTACATGTAATGCACAAAGTAAAATTCAGGACTACAGAGGAAATAAGTTATATTAAAACAGACATAAATGTATTATTAACAAATTTGTAACACTTCTTAATAAAATAATACACACTTAATAAAATAATAACTACCAGCATCCAGTGGTAGATCTAAAAACTGCTATAAATTTAAATTAATGAGCATCAGTGGTACCCCCAGATAATCCTCTCCCACCACAATGCGTGCAAAAATATGTGTCATTTCTATTGAAAACAATGTCACAAGTACTAGTAATACCACTACAGCTTATTATTTACAGCTAAATAAAACAATACACTTCTCTGGGAAACAGGACAGGGACAAAGCCATACACTTGTATGCACAAGATGGGTAAGGCAGTGATCCTGAGAAACATCAGCAGGTTTTTGAAACTAGCAGTCAATTGGTAGGATTCTCAACCTGACTAACTATATATGCTGATACCTGTGAACCAAGCAACTGCACTGAAGATAGCAATATGTAATAGAAGGGTCACACTTGGAATGCTTGTCATTCTGGTCTTCTAAATACATACTTCTTGTCATGACATACCAATTATTACCATACTGTCTCACAAGTAAAAGGGTTTTTGTTTTGTTTTGTTTTGTTTTGTGTTTTTCTTTTTTTAAATGGGTAATAAATAAAAAAAAAAGACACAAGAAAAAGAAAATAGTCACAGGACTGTCCTGCTACAATGCTGTATATGGTTAGATTTCTAAATTGCTGTGTAAAATATGTGTTTATTCCTATTTTTAAAAATTTTTTTTCTTCATATTCTGTAAGGACTTAAATTTCAACATATTAATACTTGATGGAAGATACCTGTTCCACGTCATACCTAAGATGTTCGATATTTAGACAGATAGTTAGGGTAAACCAAACTGCATATGTTGCAGGGTAATAATAAGCTTCTCTTCTGAAGAGTTAACCTAAGTTTGCGGATCAAAAATTAGAGAAAACAAAGGACTGAACGGTCCACCAACATTTTGGCCTTAGCCTTTCAAGGTCAGTGAAGACTCAGGACATAGGAGAACCTGTACTATAACATCATGTAACTCAGTTGTGCCCCAAATTTCCTGATCAAGGAGCTTATGGAGCCACAGAGGAATGTGATCGATGATGTATAGTGTGCCCAAGGAGAGTCACATAGAGAGAAAACTTTCTCTCAGGCTTTCACAGAGAGCAAACTGGTCAAGCATTGGCCATGACTCATCCACATGGCTGACACAAAAGATCTACAAAGTGCAGTACAGGGTTACAGGATAAATCCCGAGGGGACTTGACTGGCCTTATCAGATAAAAAAGTTACATTTCTTGTTTTATAGGTCTTGCTTTATCTTGGTCTTAACCATCCAGCAGAAAAGTATAAAAACGAGGTATATAAAGTAAAGCCATATTAATATGCTGAGCTCTAAAAGGCTCTAGTCAACAACTTCTGCAGACAAACCCCTACTACTGTGGACTACTGGACTGTGTTGGATTGTTCTGCTGAATTCAAGCACCTATAATATTTAGATGCCGATAGAATATCCATCTCTGACAGGACTGAACTGAAAAGGGGGGATACAGAGGAAGAACCATTTTGTATTTGTACATACAGAATAGTTAGGATAGATGTACAGCTGCTTTCGCTTGGTTCAGTGAGAGGAAGGATTTGTAGCAGTAGTGTTTGGATGGGATGTCCTGGCTGCTTCTTGTGCTGTGGATGACTGCTGAGAAGATAACAATGTGCAATGTATTAATTACTGAAAATGTCCAATTAATCAGCTTGGAAAGTGTCTCATTGATACTTGTTTCTCAATAAAATAAAAATCTTTTTAAAACTTTAAAATAAAATAAAATTAAATTAAATTTTAAAAACGGAAGACAATACACTTCTGTTAGAATTTAGCAAAAATGAAGATGTAACTTTTGTCCCATTCAAGTTCACAAAGGCCCTGACTGCTGTCACAGCCCATTTGGAGGGAGCCGAGCCCAGGTTACAACTTCTTTGCATAAAAGACTGAATAGAGAAGTACAACTCCCGGGGGCTGTATGGGTGCCAGTGCTGGAAAATAGGACAAGCAGAGACTGGGTCCTGGGGGCTTGTTCCTGAGGGCACAGTCCAGTGGTGAGCTGACAGCTGACCTCATGTGAGGTCATACCACACTGCAAGATGCAGAGCAGGTGTGTGTGTGTGTGTGTGTGTGTGTGTGTGTACATGCGCAGGCGCGCACGTGCTCAGCCTCACCCATCAAATGTGCATTTCTGATGGGAAGAAATTGTAGCAACCACTGACTCCTTTAGTTTTTACCACTGTGTATGGAACGAATCCCAGTGGTCATCAGCAGTTCTGTGTACTCGCACAGAAGGGACCGTGCTGCACATGAATTCTCAGATGCTGTGCTCTGGACTAGTAAGTATTTTGCTTCTAATACACTATTTGTATTTTGAAGCCTTGGTACCCAGTTCATGTGCCATTCGTTAGTTCCTTTCTCCTCTTGTTTCCAGCTTATTTCTTACCATGATGTACATTTTATCTGCCAGTGCCTATGGTCTTACTAACAGGAAAGGCAAAATCTGTGAAGGAAATTATTAAGCAGAAAATAGGATTTTACATAACCTTTTCAAAAAAAGATTCATAAATGTTTCCTATTTTTTCATACAGTATTACTTTTCTTTTTTTTTTCCTTTGGAGGACAGTGTGACAAATGGTGGAAAGACAACATTGGCTAAGAATTTACAGAAACACCTTCCAAACTGCAGCATCATATCTCAGGATGATTTCTTTAAGGTACTGATAAAACTTCTTAGATAATGTATTTAGTACAGAAATGTTTAATGACAGTTCATTCAATTACATCTGAAAATCTTTGCCGAGCATTTGCCTTTTGTACAGCTAAAGGCAGGCTCAATAACAGTAGTGTCACTTACCCACTAGATGGTGCCCTCTGGTAGCGCTAATCTTCTTCATTAACCAAAACATTTTTCTCCTTGTTCTATAAACACATTGCTTTTGCCCTACCAATGGTTTTGATGAGTTCTTTATTATTTTTCCAGCCAGAATCTGAAATAGAGAAAGATAAAAATGGATTTTTACAGTATGATGGTAAGTAGATTAGCTTCTAAAACATTACATACTTATGTTCATTTTTTCAAACCAGAATTTCATTGTTTATGAAGACAGTCTTAAAAGTGTTTAAATATGTAGTTTACTTTAAATCTGTTTTTGTGGGTTTCTGTATGATTTATAGTCAACTATTTACTTTATTAGTACATCTTTGCAGTACATAAGGACTGCACCTACTCTGAAGGATTGGTCTGTGCAAGTGACACCTCTTGGTCTTCTTCCCTCCCCCTCTCTACTACTTCCATCTCTTGGTACCCTTCCTATCTGCAAAACAAATACTTCCATTTTTTCTTTTAATTCTTTTTTCCAGCCCTGTTAGTCCTGCCATCTCTTGTGCCCCTTCCCATTTGAAAAAAGAGCTCCTTAGTTCCTCTGATCATTTATTTTGTACTTTCTTTACATTGTGAAGTTTCTCATGGAAGAGTAGGCACGTGGTGCTTAAGCTTGTGTCTGACTTATTGTACTTAGTGTTGTGCTCTTACAGTACATCCATTTACCTACGAATGCCTCCAATTAAGTGGAGCAATCTCCCCAGATTTATATTTAAGTCTGAAAGTATCAGCACGATAGATTCTTGTTCTGCAGGTAGGGCAAAGTGGGTTCACTGCCCCTCTACTTATCCTTGCCCTGGACTTAAGCGACTGACTGCCTCCCTCACCTTTGTGCTTCATCCCGAGCACACTCTAAGCTTTCATCTTCTCAGCTTTTCCTCCGGTAGCTGAAACACTTGGAAGCTTATTTTTTTTTTACTGCTCAGAAAGACTTGGAAATATTTTTAGCTGGATCCACTCCATTCCTTTGCCCCAAGCTAATACAGTTTTAAAGCTAAAGGATTAAAGTCTACCAGAAAACATTTATTTTCCTGTAGAGAGCACCATGGTATTAGATTATATAATGTTTAATGGTGTTGTTAGAATTAATAAGATGATCATTGAGAACTCAGCAGACTGACAACAGAGGGAGCTCTCTCAAAAAGTCATAAAGTACATTTGTTATTTTGGGGGCCTTGGAGGGGAATGTTACATAACAGTTCTTATAGCCACATGATCTCTTAAAAAGACAAAATCCTTGATTTGTTTTCTGTTCTTGTATCAAGCTGAATTTTTTTTCTTTGCATCTGAAGGTTAGATTCTTGCAAATAATTGAGCCAGAAAATATTGGGTTCCACAATTGGCAAAGAATTATTATTCCTACTTTTTAATGTAATCTGATAAGGAAAAACTAATATCCCAAAAATAAGTATAAGAATGTGAAGAATTGACTCACACAAATACTAGGTTATAATAGTAATAAATGTAGATTAAAAAATCATCCTCCTAACTAGTCAAAGAACTGCAATTTACTTTCCCCTCTCACAAAGTAAACATATCTTTAAAAGAGTGACAGTTATCTAATTATACAAAGACTCAAGAAAACAAAAACTGCTGCTGCCTTAGATGAACGTGTAAATTGATTATCTGTCTCAGAAATCTTAAAATATACATGCCATAAGCTCAAATATCCCACATTCAGGAATCTACCTTAATTATTTTTTAATTTTTTGAGTAAATATGACAAATGTACAGTAAATCAAGGTGGCATCTTTATAAATGCTAAAAACAAAAAACTTAAAATCTGTAGCTATCAAACTTAGGATAGACTCATCACAGTTCAATTGATAACTACAAAAGATGTCAAAAACAGCAAAAAGATCAAGGATGATGCACAAATAAAAAAGTAATAGTAAGATTTAAAGCCAAATATCTCAGCAGCTACATTAAGTTAAATGAACTGAAATAGTCTAAAATTTGTCAAACAGGACTTTTCAGAAAGCCAATTATAAGCTCCTTAAAAGAAATAGATTTGGATATGAAGACATAGAAAGGTGGACAGCATAAGGCTGGTACATGATGGAACCAACTACACTAATACCTGAAAGAAGTAAGTTTTAAGAAGAAGAAGGGAAAGTGGTTCCATTCAGCAGGAACAGAAAGCAGTCTAAAATGTGCATGCACCTAAAAATGTAACCCAAAATACACCACGTAAAAACTTGACAGAACTAGGAGGAGACATCATCGGCAGATTTCTCATTATTGTATCAGATCTTATCCCAGCTTCCTTTGTGATGGCTTACAAACAAATGTGTTAGGACTTTAGCATACGAATCTGGATAGGAGTAGGAGTGGTCACCGTACAGCCTGCATGACTTAGGAATGGAGCTGGCAAGCAAAAAGTATTAGTGGTATGATGATCTGAATAATATAAGTTAACCAAATTGGCCAGACTGACATGTAGAACAGCAAGAGTACAGCCTTTCTTCTGGAACATTAGCCCAAACAGACTAGCACGAGAGCAGGGACTAAGTCCTCACAAATCTCCACAGAGTAAAGTAACAGAACATTCTGTTAATCACAGTGAACTAAATTAGAAATTAGTAACAAAAGGGTAAGTAGAAAATTCTCTGGGAGCTGACCAAATAGCTCAGCCCCTGTGCCAGCCCTGTCCCCGGGGTGCGCCCAGATGGCAATTGAGACTGGGCGTGGTGGTGTGTGCCTGTAATCCCAGCTCTTGGGAAGCTGTAAGCAGATCAGAGTCTGATCTAATAGTGAGACCATGAACACCCTGTAGACCCTTCCCTAAAATACAAAAAAAAAACAAAAAAGAAAAAAGAGAACTCTCAAATGTTTGTAAACTAAATGGTAATTTTAAAAATTTTTAAAGCCCTTTCTTATGGAAAATTTCAAACAAAAACAAAAAAGGGCAGAAAAATATAATGAACTCTCATAAATTTACCATCCAGCCTAAAAAATTATAAACCCTTGACCAATTATTACTCATTTTACCTTCACCTACTTCTTCCTTTTTGCATTATTTTAAAGCAGATCCCAAAATTGTCACATTTTCTAAAGTGAAAAGCCTGTATGTTCCATAGGTCAAGAGATAAACTACAATGAAACTTAGAAAATATTTTTATATTTGAATAATAATAAAAAATATATCAAAATGACTAGGACTTCTGGTTCTAGCCAAGAGGGACTAGCTCTGTTTCTCATTGGTCCTCCCTCTTACAGCCAGAAACCTTGGACACAATAAAGCGAACAAGAAAAAGAAGACTCCAAGATGAAAAGACAGTGAGCAAGCTAGCCTTCAACGTCAGGAATGACCTGGCTGTAAGTTCTTGCCTTTTGCCTCCCAGATACTCAGGCTGAGGTGTCGGTGACCTGTGCAACACAGAACTGTGAACAGATGTGAACAAAAACGCAGCGTGAAACCCACTTAATAAGTGGGTTATTAAGTGGATTCTTCCTTTGAAGTGCTGTCTTTTCTCATGTCACAGCTGAGGAGTATGTTGCAAGTGTGGTCCAAAAGATCTTTTTTATATCTACCCTACTTTAGCCAAATGCAAGAGGAAAAACCTGTTTCCATCATACTGTTAGTAGGGCCAAGTGGAGACCATTGCTTCTCACCCGCTCAGCACCGGCCCTCAGGGTGTCACTGCAGCCAAACAGGACGCTGAGTCTACCTGGCAGCTGCTGATGCAGTTTGAGGTTTTGCAGGTAGCCCCCACCATCCTCACCAAGTGTCAGCTACTATCAGTAAGATCCTGGAGAAGGATGAGCTTTTACCTCACCTAACGAACGGCAAAGGAAGGTGAAACAGCACTCTGCTCTCTCCTTTCTCCCTCTGGGTCCACCTTTCCAGCGTCATACAAACATCAGAGCCCAGCAAGAGGCTGAATGTCTACCCTCACCTAAACCTGCATGCCACTTCGACAGTGATTACCTGCACAAAAGATTAAGTATGAGCTCGCACATCATACTCAGCATTTCCAAGACACAACTGAAAATAATTTGCCATATCAAGAACAAGGAAATCCCATCTTGATTAAGAAAACAAGTCAGTAGACATCAATTCCACAATGACACAGATTTCAAAATTATCTTCTGAGTTCAAACATTGTTATTAAAAGATTTCAACAGCCAATTGCAAACATGTTTGAAACAAATGAGAAGTTAGAAAACCTCAGTAAAGAAAAAATTGGATGTTGGACCATCCTTCTCTTAGCACATGGAGGTGAATGAGAAACCAAGCACTATGGCAGAACAAGTTGTGGAAAATGAACTTCTGGATTATGAGGAAGATGAAAAGCCCCAGGCTCCTGCTGAGAGCATTCCCGCACTCCCAAAGAAAGATGTGAAGGGCTCTTATGTCTCCATCCACAGCTCTGGCTTTCCGGACTTCATGCTGAAGCTGGAGCCTGAGGGCCATCGTGGACTGTGGCTTTGAGCACCCCTCAGAGGTTCAACATCAGTACATCCCCCAGGGCATCTTGGCCTGGATGTCCTGTGCCAGGCCAAGTCTGGAATAGGCAGGATGGCAGTCTTCATGCTGGCCATCCTACAGCAGATTGAACCTGCCAACAGGCAGCTGGCAGTTCTGGTCGTGTGCCATATAAGGGAGCTGGCCTTCCAGATCAGCAAGGAGTACAAGCACTTCTCCAAGTACATGCCCAGTGTCAAGGTGTCTGTGTTCTTTGGAGGCCTCTCTATCAAGAAGGATGAGGAAGTACAGAAGAGAAATTGTCCTCACATCATGGTGGGAACCCCAGACCGGATCCTGGCACTCATGCGAAACAAGATCCTCAACCTGAAAAACATGAAGCACTTTGTACTTAACGAATGTGACAAGATGCTGGAGCAGCTAGACATGAGGCAGGACATGCAGATCTTCCACCTGATGCCCCATGAGAAGCAGTGCATGATGTTCAGCACCACTCTGAGCAAGGAGATCTGGCCAGTCTGCAGGAAGTTCATGCAGGATCCCATGGAGGTGTTTGTAGACGATGAGACCAAGCTCATGCTGCACAACCGGCAGCAGTACTATGTGAAGCTCAAGGACAGTGAAAAAACCACAAGCTCTTCAACCTCCTGGATATCTTAGAACTTAACCAGGTGGTGATCTTCATGAAGTCAGTACCGTGTTGCATGGCCCTGGCCCACCTCCTGGTGGAGCAGAGCTTTGAAGCCATCACCATTCACCGCAGCATGGCACAGGAGGAGCGCCTATCACAATACCAGCAGTTCAGGGACTTCCAGCAGCAGATCTGGTGGCAACTAATCTGTTTGGACGAGGGATGGACATTGAATGTGTCAACATCATCCTCAGCTACAACATGCCTAAAGATTCAAACACTTACCTGCACTGGGTTGCCCGTGCAGGTTGCTTTGGTACCAAAGGCCTGGCCATCACTTTCGTGTCTGATGAGAATGATGCCAAAATTGTTAATGATGTTCAAGACCTGTTTGAAGTTAATGTGGCCAATCTTCAGAAGAGATCGACGTCTCCACACACATTGAGCAAAGTTGGTAACCATGTTCCTGGAAGGCCATCATGCCCTGCCTGCTTCTCAGACCACAGACAAGTCTCTTTACTGTTGAAAAGCTGTAGATTTGCATAACAATACATTATTGTTGTGGGGAAAAAAATAAAATAAAAATTTTGTAACTGATTAAAATACAACAACTAAAAATTAGCTGATTAAATTAGAATTCAGCAGCACAATAAAGTTGACAGAGGACAGAAGCAGAGAACTTTAGTGAACAATAAGAAATTGTTCTGAACAATAGAGAGAAAGACTAAAAAGAACAGGATTGTGGAACAATAATAAAAGATCATTAATATTCATATCATTGGAATTTGAGAAAGTATAGTACTGAATAAGTACTTAATAATAAAGGATTGGTTTTAAAATTGGATACAGGATAAAAATGGATGACTCTTGAGTGTGATGGTTTATGTCTAGATGTCCTCCAAAGCCTCATGCAGTCCTGGGGTGGCTTCTAGGGCTTTTGATTGATTCATGGTCCCTTGCTGGGATTATGGGGCAGATAGCCTAGGGCAGTATAAAGGAGGGAAAGAGGCTTGCTCTCTGCCGCTGCTTTTCCCTTTTTGCTTTTGCTGTTTTCTGCTGCTATGAACTGCTGCCCTCTGTCATGTGCCCCTCTGCCTTGGAGCCAGCCAAGTATGGATTGAAACCTCCACTAACTATGAGCTAAATAAACCTTTCTTTCTTAAATTCTGAGTGTCAAGTATTTTATCTCAGCAACAAGAAAAAAAGTAACCAAGACACTGGGTGATCCTCAAACAGGTTAAGCGAGACTGAGCAAGAAAAAGTAGAAAAGTCACACATAACCAAATACCAAAAGGAAAAAAGTACTATGACTACAGATCCTGTCGATTTTAAAGGGATCCAAATATTTTGAATATTCTTATGAAGTAAATTAGAAAACTAAAAAAAATTAAAAAATAAATAAATAAATAAAAATAGGGGCTGCGGAGATGGCTCAGTGGAATAAGTGCTTTCCTGGCAAGCGCAAGGATCTGAGTTTAATTCCCGGTTCCGCAAAAAAAAAAAAAAAAAAAGAAAACTAATGAAATTGATCACCTCCTAAGAAAAATATCACTGGGTCACTTATAAAATTGACATTTTAGCAAATAGAAAGTGTTAATAGTTCTATATCTGCTAACTAAATTAAACAGTACTTTAAAAACATACCAGAATGGGCCAGCGAGATAGGTTAGCTATCTAAAGTGCCTGCTTAGGAAAGCTTAGGCAGGCACAGGGGACCACGGTTTGATCCCCAGCAGCATATGCCGAGCCAGCCCCGACCTCGGGGTGCTGAGCTGGCCAAAAAATTTAAATTTAAATTTAAAAAAAATTCCAGAAAAGAAAACCTCTGACCCCCATAGATTAATTTAATAGTTCTGGATTACTGCTGAGAATCTACATTTGTGAAAAGTCCCCAGGGCTTGTCTGGAGATAGATATACTTTGAGAATAACTGGTACAGGCTAATTTTCTAGAATCACAATTGTAAGCTTAGAATAAAAATATGTGCATTTTAAATAGCATTTTGATCATAATATTTTAAAGCATTTATCTACAACAGTTCTTTTATATCAAAAATATTAGCTTTCCGCCACATATACTACAGATATTTTCCATAGCATGTCTTTTCTTTCAGACTTAACCTATAACTATTTTGTCTTCTAGAATTTTTATTTTATTTGTAGTCAGGAAAGACTAGAAGTGATAAAGCAAATTTAGGAATAACTTTGTTTGTCAAAGCTAGAAAAACAAATGTGAAGTTTGTTATTCTTTACTGTCTCCTTTTATATATGTTTCAAATTTTTCATAATAAACTTGTTTCAAACACACTTAATATCAGTACTATTGGTGTTAGATTATCAGAGTTTAAATTGGTTGCCTAAAGTATTTTTATAAGGTGTCTTGAAGGACAAATACTATCTTAGACATTTACTGAACCCAGAATGTACTCATCACAAAAACCTGCATCACAAAAAAGTTATTTTATTAATTTCATGTTTCTTCTTTCTCTGAAGTGCTTGAAGCACTTAACATGGAAAAAATGATGGCAGCCATTTCTTGCTGGATGGAGAATCCAGGACACTCTGTGAAATCAACAGCTGGCAGCAGCACAGAGGAAGTGTCCATTTTAATCATCGAAGGATTCCTTCTGTTTAATTATAAGTAAGCATCCCCACCATAATGTAGCCTCTGAATAAATGGGGGAAGGCCATGTAAACTAAATATGCTCTTAACTTAGGCCCCTCGATACTATATGGAATAGAAGCTATTTCCTGACCATCCCATATGAAGAGTGTAAGAGGAGAAGGAGGTAAGCTTGGAAATCATCTTTATGGATTGTAATTTAAAGGATAAAACATACTGAACAGGACAGCACCATCATCAGGCAGTGACTATGGTCAATTTTCAGACAGGGAGACCTTGACTCTTGCACAGAGCAAATGGCTACCTGTGTGGAGGGGTGCACATTGCTCCCATAAGTGAAAGGCTTACTGTCCACCTGTTTGACTCATTTCCCCTAAATCTTCAGGTCAAGCAGTCCTGTATAGATTATAATTGTAAATTAATACACCTATGTTCTTTTTTTTTTTTTTTTTCGGAACTGGGGATTGAACTCAGGCCCTTGCACTTGTCAGGGAAGTGCTTATTCCACCAAGCCAACTCCCCGGGCCCCTTACACCTATGTTCTATAAAGTTAGTTTGGAGCTTAATACAATAAGCAGTATTTATGTCATTATCAACACTGACTCTCATGAGAAGATAGTTATGAATGACAATGAATTACAAAATTTTTGTATTGTAGAACTAAATCCATTTTGCAGTCTTTCTAAACTGCCATAGAATCTAAAACTACCATGACTGTTAATCCTGGTCACACTTAGTCTTGGATTTTCCCATTATCCTTAACATTATATTTTTCTTTATAAGCTTTATATTTCTAGCAACATGAATTTTCCTTGGTGTTTTGACAGCACAAGGGTCTATGAGCCCCCAGACCCACCTGGGTACTTTGATGGGCATGTGTGGCCCATGTACTTAAAGCACAGACAAGAGATGGACAACATTGCCTGGGAGGTTGGTGAGTGCCCTCCTCCCATCATAAGGCCCTTTAGTTGTCAGTTGTCTCAAAGTACATAAACCAAAGGACTTGGGAACCAGTTCTCTCCTATAGAAGATTATAGAGTATTGCTCTAAGTAGGAGTCTCTGGGTTCTCTAGGTTTTTATTTCTCCAAAACTGCTTCTGTCCATTTTATTAAAAATATAATTTCTGGGCCTGGAGAATTGTTATTCACTACATAGGTGGCAGGGTACAGCCCAGTTCATGGTTTAAGAAGCTTCACAAGCCAGGCATGGTGCTACACACCTATAATCCCAACACTTGGGAAGTTGACGTAGGAAGAGGATCACAAGTTTGACTAGCCTGGGCTACATAGTGAGTTCAAGCCCTGCCTGAACTACGTAGCAGTACCCTGTCTTAACAAACAAACAAAAAAGAAGCTGGGTGCATGAATTAGAGAATTACTCCTTAAGTGACTCTTTTGGGCAGGCAACTCTTCATTCCTCCTAAAGTTTTGTATACATGGTACTATTTAAATTTCTTACTTTCCTTATTTATCTAAATTTTCAGAGCAGCTGGTATGGATTTCTTTGTACTAAACCACATTTTTTACCTATTATACCTGGCTTCCCTCTCTTATCTTTAATTGCTGTTAATTTCTTCTTTAAATTATGGTTCTAGGTCCTTTCAGTTAAAACTGTTGGAATTTGCAACAGACATCAGTTACTAAAATAAGCATTTTTATTACTACCTTTTCCTTCCCTCTACAGTGTACCTGGATGGAACCAAATCGGAGGAGGACCTGTTTTCAGAAGTATATAAAGATCTCACACAAGAGCTAGCAAAGCAAAGTCCAAGTACTGTCCCAGCAAAGTGGATGGTGAAGGATGGACAGCCAGGAAAATAGTTCATCAGATATGCCAGAATGGCACACCAAGGGATTGCAAGGGATTGTATTCACTGACTGTTTGCTTTGAGGATAATTCAGAAGCTGAAATTCAGTGTCGGTGTGAAGACTGGATTATTTTGTCCCACCCTCCCTCCTTTCCATCCTCCCTCTCTCCCTCTGTTCTCTCTGTGTCTCTCTCTCTCCCTCCCTCCTTATTTATCTAAATTTTCAGAGCAGCTGGTATGGATTTCTTTGTACTAAACCTTCTCTCTTTCATATCTCTCTCTGCTATCTCTCATAATATTTATGTTACTTAGTTTAAAATTTTGGTAGATGGCTGTCTCAATGAGACTGATATTACCATATTGTAAAATTGAAATGCTTGGACTGGGGAGATGGCTCAGTAGAATAAGCGCTTGCCTGGCAAGCACAAGGGCCTGAGTTCAATCCCCGTTCCACCAAAAAAAAAAAAAAAAATTGAAATGCTAATGATTTTAATATTTCTAGAGATCCCCTCTTCCTTTTTTACCTTTCCTTAAAGTTCATATTTTGCAAATACCTCAGAATAAGCACAAGATTTAAAAAACTTTCTGTTTCTTTAAAATTAGTTGTTTTTGAAAGAGATGGGACATCCTAAAGCCAGCCCAAGTAAAAAAGTGCAGAAGTAGCAGTGGCTTCTGGTGTGGCTGGATTAGAGCCCTCAGATGGTATCCTCAGCACTCTACTGCGTTCTGTTGGAGTTTATTTTGAAGTAAGTTCTCTCCACCAAAAGGGTAATCGCCTTTCAGCATCCTCTCAGGCCCTACAGCCCAGTATGGAACGATAGTTAATCCTTTTTCAGTGTCAATGAGTGAATAAATATTGGAATGGCCTGTAGAAGACAGGAAGATTCATAAGTCATTCTCACCACTTTTGCATATGTATAAAATTATTTTAAAGAATTTTCTTGTTTTTTTGAGGTGTAGAGGTTGAACCCTGACCCTTTTTACATGTTAAGCATGTGCTGTACCACTGAGCTGTATTTTCAACCTTAAACAGTCCTAAAGAAATGCTCAGCTGAAAAGGCCTAGGGAAGACTTTTCTTAGTTCTGCTTGGGCTACATGACTTGCTAGATCAATCCCTATGGCCAGCACATGGCATACCCTGCTTGGTTGTCACTGGCTTATATTTCCCAGCCTATAGGTGAATATCCCACCTCAAACCTGATTTTTAAAATTTGCCAAAGTGAAGGCAAGGTAGATGGTAAAAATGAAAAGAAGAAAAATGAAAAAGCATTTTTGAAGATCTAGTTGCTGATATATTTGAATTATGTGAATTAAAGGGCTAAACAGGCAAAATGAAGTTGTAAGCTGACCCAAGAAGACAATCTGAGTCACACTGATTGAAGACTGTTACATGGTTTTGCTGAGAAGCAGTTGCACTGGTCCAGTTACCATCTCTCAAAAGAATCGAATTTCTCATGTGTTCAGTAAGTTCCTCCCTAGCTTGGGGGACTGAACCCAGCCAAGTAGTCTATTGACCCTGACCACTCCTGATTTTTTTTTTTTAATGTGGGACTAGGGATTGAACTCAGGACCTTGCTCTTGCCAGGCAAGCGCTTATTCTACTGAGCTATCTCCCCAGCCCCCACTCTTGATTTTGAATCAGTCATTCAAGTAGGCATTGGAGAAATGTTGGGACCATTTTAAATTTTTTTCTTGCAAGTAGAACCAGTAATCTTTGGCATATATACCCACCCACCCTCATCATTTCTTACTTTGATGGAAGACTGGTCTTCCATAATGAGCCTCAGGATACCAACTGAAGCATATATGAAGCATGTGGTGATAGAGGAAGGGGCTGAGCCTCCATAAGTTACTGCCTCTGAACCAAAGCCCTTGTCAGAATTATCAGCACCCCAGGGCCAGCTTGCCCGCATGCTTCAGCTGCTGGCCTCCTGTGCTATTTTCTAGACAATGGCCAGCACTTGGTTCTAATTCTGCTTTAATGGCTGACTCACACACTGGGATTTGCTTTATCCTGTACATATGGATAAAGATGAAAGGAGCTCAGGTGATTCCACCGCATTGCATTCCAAACCCTGCCTTCACCAACGACCTGATCCAGGGCCCAGAACAGATGGTGTGTCCTGTGGTGCTTTGAGCTCCTAAGTGCATTTCCATGTATGTGACTCGCCTCTTTGCCTGTATCCAAGAGACAGGTAAGAAAATATTTAACAATGCTGCCCAAGGCTATCAAGTCTATGTTGTAGAATCTGAGTAAAAGATAAAAGGAAGAACGAAGACACTAGAAGAAATGTGAATCTGGAAGCAGGTCAGCTTTTCCTGATTGAAGATTTATGATAGTTTCTGTGTTGCATAAATAAGTAACTGTGCTATTTATAGTGATGCAGCACCTTTCCTGCCTCCGCCAGCCACAGCGGGCAGAATTGGCAGGGAGTGGCCCTCAGTGTAACCTGGCTTGACCCTGAGTTTGTAACTGAGGTGACCTTTCCAAGGCTTCAAGTGATGACTCTTCAGGTTTTCGCTACTAACATTTCTTAAACCTATTCCACTAATTTTTCATGCTGCATCTATAAAATCATAAAATTATGGTGAAGTAATAATGATAAAGACAAGACATTGAGTTTATTAGTGTAACAAGAAAATGCCTATGAAGTACACATTTAAATCGGTCCTCATTTTAATCTGAAGTTTGAAATTTAATCACTGTATATTCTCAGTATAACAAGGCAGTCAAGCTACCAGTAACATTCTAATTGCTTTTATGTTTATTTTCATCCCATTACAAAAAACATTAAGTATGAAAACTATATAAAAGCAAAGGGAGAAAAGAACTCTGTATTCCTACCAGCTTTAGTTTTAGCAGTTTAATGAGTGCATGTCCAGGGTTTTTACTGTCACATTAGTCTCTTTTGCGAGACATTCTGGGGATAGTAATGAATCTACCAAAGGTACTTCTGTTTTTCTTCAGTGTCTAATATTTGCATAGCTTTACAGAGTTTATTATATAATGAAACTTGAGTGTCATCCCAGTTAGAAGACTCAAGGCTGAGTTCTGTTTTGTGCACTGGAGTGAAATCTAAGTCTTGTTTTTGACATTTTAGTGCAGAAGAAAGATGTCACAGGTCTAGTACCAAATCAAAGCACAGGAACTAGGGCCTGGGAGATAGCTCAGTAGAATAAGTGCCTTCCTGGCAAGCGCAGGGTCCTGGGTTCAATCCCCAGTACCACAAAAAAAAAAAAACCAGAGCAAGAAATTGCCAAATAAGAATTTAACTATCAAACTGTTGCATTTTTCTATTATGATTTTCCTATACTTAAAATATACTTCCTAGTTATCAAATAATAGTAGTGACATAAATATCTAATATAATCTAAATTCACATAAGAATATTTACCCATTACCCAATTGTTGGATATTTGGTGTTATTAGTGTTTCACATTGATAAATAACTTTTTTTATTATTATTTTTTGAGATAGAGTCTGTCCATATAGTTCATGCTGGAGTTCACTGTGTAACCCAAAATGGCCTCAGGCTCAATGATTCTCCTGCCTCAGCCTCCCAAGTACTGGGATTATAGGCATGCACCACCGTGCCTGGTGACCTGGTGATAAATAACTTCCTATTAAAAAATATATATAGATATACATGTATAGATTTTTATATATGATGTTGGTTTTCCTATTTTGTATTATATCCCTGGTCTAAATTCCCAGAAGTAGCACTTATTTAGTCAAAGAATAACATAATTTTTTACATATTTTGAAAGTGAAATACAGCACTAAAAATATGTGTTCTCCGATATAAACCATACAGTAAAAGTATATATGGTAGGGCCAGGGAGACAGCTCAGAGGCTTAAGCACATGCCTGGCAAGCACAAAGCCTGAGTTCAGTTTCTGGTCCCCCAAAACCAAAAAGCACAGATGGTTTGTGACTGAATTTCTAAGCCACGTTGAGTGTTTAGCTAGGTTCCTTCTGTTGTAGCCAACAGGTTAAAGGTAATACAGCTGTTTTGTGCACAACAAGGACCATACACCAGACCAAGAATTACACTGCAGCCCGCCACCCTTTGTAATGTTCTTCTAGTTGCCAAACTGTTTCTTTCCCTGATGTCAAGGTTATTATACCAGCGGAACTGATATGGGGTATCTGATTGATTGGGATACACATCAAATTAACACAATGATTTAAAAATGGGACTTGGACTTCAGTTGGGAAAAGCAGCATTTGTGGCTCCAGAGTTCTTGTGATCTTTAACCTTTTTTTTTTTTTTTTTTGTACAAAAACCCAAGATCCACCTTTACATTCTTTGATTGACTTTTGTGGGTGTAAAAATTTAACAAAATGAGAATTGGAATCCTCCATAAATTTATTTTCCCATGTATTCCCAAGGTTTTCAGATTGCACCCTAAAAATGGAATGCATCCTGGGATGAATTAGGAAACTCAAAGGACTGTATTTAAGAACATTAACCAAGATACAGTATATAGTGTGATATGACAGCTATTTTGCATGTTAATTGTTTAATCACATAGAGTTTTCTAAAACTGGGAAGTAACATTTAATGCAGCCCATGTAGAACAGTAATCATTCATGCCAATGGACAGGAATCTCCCTAATTACTTGTTTTCACTCGAGAGGAGACAAAGAAACAGCATAGCTCATGAGCAGTGAGTTGTACCTGTGTAACAATGCCTGTTAAGCTTTTCTGACTGACCCAAGAGTTAGAAATAAGTATTAAACCCTAACTCAGCATATTTGCAATTGATTGTGTGGTTGCACATGTAGGTGTGCATATAATGGGCCCTTGACTTACAAACTCAATCCCTTTGTCAGGGTTGGTTGCTACTCAAGGTGGTTATAAGTCAAGACTTTTCCCATAAATAATGGTAATACCTATAATGTATTCCAAACCTTCTAAAGCACTCTTAGCTCACTTTTTCATTGTAGAGGGTTGTATAATGTGTGTAATTTACCAGAAACATCAACAATTTTCCTGTCACATTCACCCCAAAAATTGTAAAAAGTGCCTAGTTGACCAGAGACATCATACTGTACTCACCATTCAAGTTGACATTTGTGGCTCACAGGAGGAGAAGATGAAATGGAAGGTGGTTCTCATTTGAAAGGAGAGTGACCTTCCTTAAGAACCTCAGGAATCCGGCTCTCTGGTGCCCTTTCTTTCCTTGGGAGAGTCTGTA